CTTTCGATAGGAGCCGAGTAGACAGAGAGAACTGACTTTTAGCTTCTTGTCCTGTTTTCTTTGTGTCGTCATAAACAGGACGTTCAGCCTTATTTATTTTATTTTCTACAAACAGAAGAGAAATGACGAGGAGATGAAGGTAAAGTCAGTGATGGAGAGAGAACAGGGCGAAGGAGCTGCCAGATGTGAACAGCTGTTTCTACCTGCCTCACCCCCTCCTGCTGATTTTCACTAATTATTGTGAATACTCTGATTAATAAATGATGCTTTGTTTGTGGTACTAAAGTGCCACTAAAGACTATTTTTCTATTGATTAATCCATCCATCCATCAGCTCTCCGCCTTAATCCTCACCAGGGTCATGGGGGGCTGGAGTCTATCCCAGCTGACTCAGGGTGAAGGCAGGTTCACCTGGACAGGTAACCATTCTATCACAGGGCTACACTTAGAGACAGACAACGAATATTCAAAAAGCTTAGAGCCAGTACAGTTCTGCTTGTTGTGTAGTTGTTCTCTGACTCGGTAGTTGTTTTCGAGTTTATCAGACGATGCCGTGGTTATAAAATCAGTGCAGGGCTTTGAAGTTATTGCTGGTTAACACGTCTTAGATTTAAGGTGTTATTTCAGACTCATTCCATCACCTGACAGCAGAAATGAAAGTATATGTAAATGAGAACAGCTCTATTGGGAGTTAAAATACAATATACCTGAGCTCAGGGAGTGAGAGATGCAAACGGATGTAAATTGCCTCCAAACAGCGCCGGTGTGTTTTCTCTTCATGTGCTCCTGCGTTGCACTTGTGCTGCTGCAGTATGTCACCGAAACCACAGTTTTGTTCTGCGATGATTTGAAGTGCTTCCTTTCTTTTGAAGTCGAGTCAGACTGAGCTGCTGTCGTCCTGAGTGTTGTGCAGCTGACCGGCAACGGCAGACGTCATGAGTCCACAAGTTCGTAGTAATGAAGGAAAATATTTCTTTTAATGACATAAAGTTGGGGAAAATGTGCCAGTTGAAGTTATTGATGCATTTCCAGCGTTGACGTCACAGATTAACTAACTGCAGCAACTCTAGTTCATGATGACAGGTTGAGGTGTTATTCAGTGTGCTCCTTTTACTGTGGATTTTCTATTCTGTAATTTATATATTTATTTTTTATCCTCTCAGCGCCTCTTTGTGTGTTCTGGGACCTCTGGATTTACAAATTAAACTCTGAGCGACTCCTATAAAGGTGTTATTTTATAGAGAAATCCCTGCAATATGTAATCAATGCAGACTGCAAGGTGTCTCGGTGGTTAGCACTGTCACCTCACAGCTAGAAGGTCACCGGTTCACGTCCCGGTGAGGACACCCGGGATCTTTCTGCGTGGAGTTTGCATGTTCTCACCGTGCAGCGTGGGTTCTCTCCGGGTTCTCCGGCTTCCTCCCACAGTCCAGAAACATGCTGAGGTTAGTTGGTGATTCTAAATTGTCCGTAGGTGTGAATGTGAGTGTGCTTGGTTGTCTGTCTCTAAGTGTAGCCCTGTGATGGACTGCCATCGAGCTGATGTTCATGGTCACGACATAAATATGGTCCAACACCATTGCCTTCATACTCGCGAGTACCGACCCAGTGCAGGACTCTGCTGTGAAGGTGGAGACATGCGGCGGTGGTGGTGTATTTGCGACAATAAAATAAAAAAATTTGAAGGAGCCGCGGCGAGGATTTAGGAATGGTGGGCCACTGCTGGAGATAATGGATGGATGGATGTAATCAATCTATTTTTCTGCTTTATAGAAGAGACGCTGGAATTTTCCTGCGTGTGGCTTCAGTTTAATTTTCAGACTCGACACGGATCTTTCCTCAGATTGCACGTCTTCATGTTTAAACGTCCAGTAGATGCTC